TGTTAAAATCTATCGAACGTTACTAGAAGTTACAAATTGAAGAGGATATTTACAATTTACTAAGAAATTAAGTAATGAAAAAGAAGTTTGGATAACATTAAAATAATACTCTGAGAAAAAAAACATTTTCATGTATATTTTTTATTTAAATAAAAATATTACTAGTTACTTGTACTAATATTTCCTATAACCATACCAGCTAAGCTCTAGGCTTGTGCTTTGATATGGTTCATGACAATAGACGAATGGTGGGATTCGAACCTCGACCGTAAGATTGGTCCGTACCCCAACCCATTAGGCTATTGGCACTTTAGTAATATGATTAAATATTAATTAGATCTACACAGAAATCAGAACTGGTCAGGTAACTTTAATATTAAACTATCCGCTCAGTATCCGACCAACTACCAGAACGTGTAAAGTGACAATACGATAAATATAAGAACACGAAAAATGTTTATAAAAAACGAGGCTGGTCGCCGTAATGGAAAATTACTGTGATTAGACGAGGAAAAATAGCAAACACACCAACAACATAGTGGCAGTTCATAATCGTCGAGCGTCCGCAAGAACGCAATATGTATTATAATAAGTACGCAAACATAGGATCGTGATGTTGACCGTATCCAAGTTTAGATTGACATCAGCAATAGCAAAGTGAAATACTGCGAGATTTTCAACAATAAACCTGCACTCGATCTGGTTATTCCAAAGCTTTTATACATCTCATGCGTTACAAAAGAGGACACGCCCTTTTGTACAAAACCTAACAGGTACATATTATTATTAAAATTATCGCAAGGTAAAATTATTTTTAAACCAATTACTTATAAAACATAAATATCAAAGCCTAAAACGTAAGGTTACGAAGACATATTTCCAAGTAAAGTAACTATGTATGTCTGCTATTCTTTTATACTTCAAATATTATGGGGGTTTCGATTCCGATGCATCAGTAGTCCTATCGGTCCACGGGGAACACTTTCCCCGGGTGTTTCCCGTTGATTAACTATACCTATGCAATTATAGTTATAGCCTGGTAACATTTATTCGCGGTTAGTGTTTAAAATTCTATCCCGTGACAAAGTACATTGGAGTATTTAGTTGGTAATGATATTGGCTATGAAATAACGGTATGCGGAGGCGCGGGCCGCGTGCGCTCGTCAGTCGGCGGCAAGTCGGGCGTTACTCACCGACGATAATTGCAACATCATAAGCGGCCGCGCGAATTACCCGCGATTTCGACTCCACTCAACTCGACTGTTTGCTTTATATCGTAGTTCTATAAGCACAACACCGAAAGCACGACAGATGAAACCATATTTGATAATCTATTCAAGTTCTCCCTCTCCATGTACTATTTTAATTTAAAATGTTTATTTAAAACAGATACAGTTGTATTTGAGTCTAGGTATAGTATCTATAACTGTGTCTTTAAAACGCTACTTTGAGTTCTTATCTTTTTACTTCGCCAACGTTTCAAAACAAGTATCGTCGAAGGCTTTTCCTTATATTGTCTGTTGTGTCATTTTAATTTACGAGAGAAACATGTTTTGAAAAAGTAATGCAAAAACTAATAAATCTATACTCTAGCTTCTATATTGTGCAGAAGTCAAACATTTTATTTTACGGATTTAAATGATTATTACTCAGTTTCTCGTTGCATTATTTTCCATTAATAATGAGACAACAATTTATATGAGTAAAATGTGGCGCCACCTGTCGTCGGCGATACATTTTTGGCAATTGCAATGTTTGGAAATTGAATAGAAATAGAGACTGCATATAGCTCAACCATTCATCTATGAATAGCCAGTAGGTTGAGACATGAATTTACGTGGCCGTGGGTAGTCGACATGTTCACTTCAACTACTATTTGTACGTACACACAATCCAACAAACAATCATCATCAGTTCGTTCGCCGGTAAACAGCTGGCCGCAGCACAGATTGCTTTAATGCCACCAGGGGCTACCTAAAGCTGTCCGTTAACCGCAGTCCCACCCTAAGGTTCAGAGGTACGAAAATCCGGTTACACTCACACAAGACGACGAAACGAAGATGTTTAGTGACCTCGTAGATCTTATTTTGTTGTTGCTATTAAATATAATGTCGACAGAGATGACCTTGCTTATACTAGTAATGACGTTATGTACTTTACTATAATTTATATATACTTACATAACATTAAATTATTAACGTAAGGTACATTAATAATGGTAGAAATCGTCACATACAATCAGTCTATAATTATATTCTTCCAAAAAAAGAAGAGATTTAAAAAGTGAAACACGAAATGTTTTCAAAGCTAATTTTCAATCGCTGTACCCAGGTTCTTTTTTTTATGATTTTAAAAATTAGCGCTTGACCACGATCCCGCCTATATTTAAGTGATAATTTGCCCAAAGAATATTTTTAATAATTGTAGACACAAGTTTTGCAAAGAATCTGCTGTTGCAATAGCAATTTAATATTCAAGTTAAAATCCGAGTGAAATTAGAATCATCATAGAAAGTAAATTAATTGTAATTTATTATTTTGTTTTGACGTAATCAGAGTTCTAAAGATAACAATGTTTAATATGGCGACGTAACAGTTTTAAAGTAGGATGAGCGAAACGCGAACAAACGTGGTATTCATTGGCGCAAGCGACAGACCTCTTGTGTCCGGTCGCGATGTCCTCACGAGCCGTTCATAAATCATAAGCTTAATCACTGCTACTATCAACCCCTTGTTTATATCACTTAAAAACAATAATTTATTATAATATTTTATAATTTTCCACTACACTTAGCTCCGACTTATGATATAACCCAACATTGAACTGAAAACAGTCGAATTACCAATATATTAATCTACCATATACATAATCCAGAATACAAAAAACTAGGCGAAAAATAAGTCTTAGATGCCTTATTAAATTGTTTACAATAAAAATTTTATACCTACAACTGATACCTTTGTCAAATTAGCAATACTTGAATTAAAATAAAACGAAAAGATAAGTCGTTATGTTACAGACCAATGACCTGCAAGAGGACAAACTACAGAATAAATTAAAAAAAAACATCTCAACATTAAATATGTCTAAGTTTTTACACGAATGGTAGTGGGGCAAATGATACAAATAAACTTTTAAAGATATCATAAATTCAACCTTTATCGTCAAAATAATGAAAAAAAGATTTAATGCGAACCGCAGATATGCTAAATTATTAAGCCTGTCTGATTTGGTCCGCCGAAAATGGTAATTGTTAAAATCCCCTGTATATATCAAACTATTTCTTTATACACGTTTATTTGTCAAGAACGACGGGTTATAGCAGTTCTGGAAATTTAACTAGTAATTGTATTAAATAATTGTCGTGAAAATTGCGAAACAAAATTTTCAGATGAAAATTTTATTCTATTGAGCTGGAGAATGATTCATGTCATTTCTCAAAGTATTTCAACAAACGTAAAGGAAGATTTCAAAGTTAACTATTGAAGTACGTACTTACTTTATGCAGTTTATTTTGTCATTTTATCGGTATATATTTAGATCTACTGACCACAACCTATGTAACAAACATTTGTGCAACCCCGATTAAAATGAAAATTGTATAAAGATATGTATAGGGCAGCTCACGAATAATAATTGAAACAGTTGAAAGTCGATCAATGCTCTGGTAGTTAATAATGCATTTTAAAATGCGTCTGTCCGGAAGGTTAAGTACGAGAATATTCTATCTATAGATGTCGCTGATGGCTATTTTCTGCAATCGCATACCAATTAGCGTTCATACGCTGCACTTCTCGGGTCGCTGGATCAAATCTGCAACCCAATGTTGTGCGTTTGCATTTTAAAATGCGGTATTGACATTGGGTCGGTCGGATTTATTTACGTCCGACCTCGTGGCCGCGCTACCGTTGTATCGACCGATAGATTTTGTATAGGTTTCATAGATTTCTATTTTTCTGTTAACGAAAATTTGTAATTGTCCCGTGTAATTGTTTTAACTTTTATTTCAGTTGGTTGTACCTTTAGAAAGAATCGGGATTAAAAATTTTATTATTGAACATTTGAATACATATCTGAAGAAATTATTGTGAGACATTTTACAGTTGTTATTGGCTTCGGAACAATGTAATAAAACATTCTCTTTTCCACCTTTGACATCTAGTAAGCTCGGGAGTTTTCATTTGCCTTGTTATCAATGGAAACCGACCGTTATCACCGTTTCATCTTATTGTTAGTTTCTTACAAACATTATTATTTCGTTTAATGTTTGTCTCGGTAAAAGAATATCGCAATCGACGTCGAATGATACAATTTATACTTGATAATGACTCATAACAAAAACTGGGCTAACGATCAGTAAAAAAAAGATGTGGTACAATAAAACTCGTATTATGAAATAAAAATTTTGAGGTGGGCGAAAACAGTAATGTGTCTACTGAGATCGACAAATGCCAAGCTTGTACGAGACAGCTGGTAATGCACTGACATCACCACAAACCATCCTAACGCAGTATTCAGATGGACTGTGTAGACCGTAACTAGAGACCATTTAGGTCTCCCAAAGACAAAAAAAGATAATGGTCCTATAACAAGATATAGCTAAAGATGGATCTCTCGATTTTCTCAATCAGTTATATTAGACCGAGGTTTTATGCTAATATTGGAATATCTAGTAAGATAAAAAAAGAATAAAAAAAAGAAAACTGCTTAGTTTTTTACTAAGCCTTGATCTCTGCTTGCAATCCGTTAGCTAACGTCTTACACGAAGCTTTTGGTATCACTATCTATTCACAATCTTGTAACATTCGTTACTAAAGATATGTATTTTCGTTTCATTTTCAAGTATATAAGAATATATTCGCACATTATTGATAAATTCTATAACAAAATTCGCTACAGTTTAAAAAACACCGTGAAAAAATAAATTCGCATACATAATTAGTAAACATATCAACAAATATCGGATAGTGTAATAAATATTAGTAAAAACTTTAACGTACCTTTCTATTCTGGACGGCGGGGGTCAATCCCACCTGGGAGCCCATTTCCGCTAGAATATTTTTCGGCATTTTGTCGTAGTGATGTCACAGGTATCACTGAGAGACACGGATGCGAAGGTGTGTGCGCGGCGTGCGCGCGCGTTCGCGAATGATTGCGAAGGCGCGCACGCGCACCGCACTTATAGCGCCTGCGTGACGTCTTGCCAGCGCCGCGCCTGTTTCCCGCAAGGTGTAACACCAACACAATCAGGTGTTCGTTCATCACGTGAACTATCCTATCCCGCCGTGGATAATGCCCTACAGATCTGTTCCACAGTACGCCTGAAACGGATCAGTTGGGGCGGTAGTTGCTCTGACTAGTTCTGCACCACTCTAGGACAAACTGTCTACGATGTTCTAATGAATACTACAAAATGAGAACCACTAAATGAAAGCTATGATTGAAGTAACTAACTCATGACCTTGAAGAATAAGAGTTTAGAGAAGAAAAAATCAGAGTATGTCGGGTCAGCTTCCCAATACTGTAACTGAAATAAACCTTTGTGGACTGTATTGACAGTCCAGTGGACTACACTCATTGGAGTGTACTAAGTAATCTATTTTTTAACTAGCTGCCGCCCGCAAAGTTAGCGCGGATTCAAAAAAACATCATATCATATTCCCGCGTGCATCTACCTTCTACCAGCTATCTTTTAGTCAAAGTCCCGTCCAAATCGATCAACCCGTCCAGAGATAGCGGCCCGGTCGCCATTCTGACAGCACGGAAGTAAAAAAAAAAGTAGTCTTTAATATGCCTGTCTATGTCAGCTACTCTTCAGTGAAAGTCCGATCGAAATCAACCAAGCCATTTCGGAGATTACCTGGAACAATCCCGGCTTGCAGGCAGACAGACAAACATATATTAAATGCGATTTTCGTTATCAGCACCGCAAATATTTCATCTTCCCGAAATCTGGAATTTTTCTTTTGATATTACAAACAGACACACCAATTTTATTATATGTATAGATAGATAGAAGATGGTTTCAGTCAATCAATCCATTCATCTTTTCGTAAGCCAATTCCTATCGGTCCCTCGAACAGTTAACTGATAAATCCACAAATCTCAAAGTAATGTCTTACACATACTCATAGTCGTGCAACAAAAATTTTATCAAAATGTTTCCGATGTTTTTACGTTTTCGCTTCACTTATTAATTTCCAGATAACTAATTTATATCGTATCCAGTCAATAAAGAATCAAGATCATAGCAAATACAAACATTCCAACATGTTTGTTGTTTGTGCACGTCGCGTAAGTACGCAAATATTGATACCAATTTCTTTAATAAATGCACTCGACGCAACCAGCCATTAAATATTTATACTTTGTTATTAAGAATTTATGTATGAATTGATAGTAACTATAGGAGGAACAATTGTCAGTGAAAAACCATGCGGCCTGTGGCGGGGCGAGGGGGACACATGTACGAGTATGTAAGCATCAATGGGTGGTCAGCTGTAACTAAATACTTGTGACGTCCCAATTACGTTGTACAAATACGTCATACGTCATAAGTGTCTTCATTACTATCAATGAAGTAACCGCCCACAATTGTACATACCTTCTAAAAAGAACCTTGTACTTAAGGTACAAGCATTAAAAAGTTTATTAGAGGTAATAGATTAAGCATTTTGCGGTTTGTAAACAACATCATTATCATTAGCTCATTATAGGCCTTTCCTGAGGAGTTAGTTACAGGTGACTAGGCCTTAATCGAGCGCGCAGTGCGGGTTTGTTCACACATATCTTCGAATTTCTTCATGGATTTGTGCAGTATCACGTTTTCCCTCACCGTAAAAACGCCAGGTAATGTAAGGTACCTTGTGAAATTCGAAAATCACATTGGTATATCGCTATGTCATTGACAATCCCACTAGATTGGAACTCGGGATTAGCAGATTACAAGTCAAGTAAAACCCTTGATCCGAAAAACTGCAAAAAAATTGTTTAATACTACTATATACTGTGTCTGCTGACTCTACTTTGGTTCTGAGCTTATATGGGCCAAGGATAGTTTCGGTTCTAATAATAAAATAGGTACGTAGCGTGATTAACATGAAGTTCATTTACAATCCGTATGCATTTAAGCAGAATGACAAACAGGTAACTTCCTCCTTAAATGCATTGATGACACTATATTGGGATTCATACAGATTCTTTAATAAAAACTGCTATGCATAGAATCTGTTCGGAGCATTCAATCAATATATTTAGTCTTACCCAACATAAACGATCAACAATTACAGCTTGTTGAACAATGACCTGCTAAATACGTGATACATTTGTTCGGAAATGAATAGTGCATTCATAAACAAATAGCTACGCATATTGTACGCAAGTAAACGTGGTACTTTATTCTCGCTAATGCAAATTACGTCTTAAACCGTGGTATACCAAACTTGCTGCAAACTTGTAATAAAGTTACGACTGACGTGTAACATTTCTTAAAAACCTAATAAGCATTAGTTAATGACAATTTGATGCATTAAGGTGGACGAGAACGGGCGATTACGCGAGTGTAGGGTAAGGAGCGAGTCAGGTGACGTCGAGGATATAGGGCGCCGACAGGATGTCACTGATTGGATCATAATGACACAAGGCCACGAGATCGCGTTCGTTGATTAATTCCCTTATTGCACTTTAATATTTTCTCTCAGACCAATTAGTAATTAATATTCATGGAAAGAATAAGAATCGAATGACGGCTCCGTTCAAAATTCAAAGTAATTTTATTTGACGGTCACAAAAAGCGCATCACCATTACATAAAAAAAAGTGTTGAATGTTTACTACATTTTTTTTACTTGACAATGATAATTGACCAAATCCTTGTCTTATAAAAGGCACAGGTAACTTATATAAAAATGTAATTAATATGAATATGGGTGAGGTCGCCTGAGACTAATGTTTTCGGATGGTGAAGTAAAGTTACTTTAGTTGGTGAGGTATGAAATAAAAACACCACGGAATCAGTAAATTAATTTTATTTGTAATGTTTATACAATTCAAGTGGCAATTTAAAAGACATTACATTACATTGAACCAATATTTCTTTACTTCATAACTTTATTAATACTAACAAAACATACGATAATTTCATCACATTTTAGAAACATAATATACATTATCAATAAATAAAATTAACATTTATAAATACAAGTCTCATTTTTAAAATAAAGTTATACAATCATAAATATACACTTTTCTTAAGATCTCGAATTCTTTGTTGGCACTAATCAAGCCCGTATAGATAGATTTTCTAATGTGTATTCATATTTGGAGTTGTCTACTCTATGATATTCCTAGAATGGAATATATTGGAATACATTGGAAATGCAATAATTTGACAATACTAATCAAAGAAATGCATTATATAGATTAAGTAAGATATTTGACAAGTATACGTAAATAAAAAAAAAATACATCAGACACCTTAATAAATTGGTTATCTATTAAATAATGTATGTACATAATAAAAATTCATAACACTATTAAAATTCATAAATATTTAGTTAAAGTATACGTAAATTTCAATAATATTAATTCGGTTTTACATTGAGGCGAATAGCATTAATTCATTTCTATTAAAAATATTTAAAAAAAGCTTTTACCAAATATACATTTAAAAACTTATTACGGAAAGGAATACTTCGATAGAAAATGGATTTTGTATAGATTGTTTCAGTTTAAAAAATTACAGATTAAAAATGTTATGTTAAATTACAATATAAAATTGGAGTAACTACCGTGGTAATGCAGTTTTACGAAAGGCTTATACTGTTTTGGTAAAAAAAAAAAAACTTAAAAACTATAATACATTACGACGTGCTGTTGTTGGCCACATGTGTATGTAATTTTATTATACAAATTAATCTACATCCATAATGCTTAACAGTTATAATAAAATGTCAAGACATTGTTTAATTTATGGAAGACGAGCTGTCGCCCCGCAAACTTCGTTAGCGCGGATTGAAAAAAAAATCATCTATCACATTGCCGCGTGCAAACCTTATACCACCAGATCTCTATCAAAGTTCCATACGAATCAGTCCACCCGTTTCAGAGATAGCGGTCTGGTCGCCATTTTGACAGCGCGGAATTAAAAAAAAGTAGCCTATAATATGCCCGTCTATGTCAGTT